TTTTACTGTAACAAGACTTCCATTGACCCAGACCCCAGAATCGCAAAGTACACAAGTGCAACAAGACTATTTGTCATACATGTAGTATGTCTTTTGAGAAAGTAATAATTAAGCAAGCCAGTATCGATAAGGGCCGGTCATTCATAATCTTCAATGGAGTAGTAACAATAATTGTCTGAAGTCTTCTTGGTGAGTGATATTACTACATTTTTAATGACAATGTTAGCTTGATACTGTGAAATACTATATTTTAGCTGGAATTAATTTTCGCTGAAAAGACTTTATTGGTGTTTTGTATGGAATATATTTTCACTGATTTTTGAGAAGTTGAATGTAAAGTATAGGAAAAAAGGTATATTCGCTGGATTTTATTTTCACTGAATCATTCCTTCAGCGAAAATAGCGAAAATTAATTCCAAGCGAAAATAAAGTATTTTACAGTATAGGGTAAATAGATCAATATTTAAAGACATAAAATGCCACTGCTGTTTGTAAAAAAAACAGTTAGTAGTTAAAAGAGAGTATAATAAAGAGAGTTTTGAATGAACACATGTGGGTAAATGAGACATGACATGATATTGAGAATATTTACAAATATAACACAAGAAAAATATTTGATTTTGGACAGGGAAAGATTATTAGTAAGATATATTAGTAGAATTGAAATTAGGCAAATATGGATTTTATCCCTAAACTGCAGGTTTGTGAATAATTCCACCTCATGTAGTTCTCCCACAGATTTTGTTTTGTTATGGAACTAAGCAAATATCATTATATTCTGATCAGTTTAAATTATTTCTATTTATTGTGTAATAAGGAACATAATTAAATAAATATATTTTGGTTTAGAAATTCAAAACAGCAGAAACAAGCCATGCACGGCACAGTCCCTGTTAGATATCAAATTTAAGATATACAGTTTTGTTTATATTAATATAGCTGGAATATAAACATGTCAGAAGTATGGATCCAGAAGATGATACTTGATTATGATGATTTTTTAACATTAAAATGATTGACATCTTGTATCTGATCGTCAAACGAGTACTTGTCCATATTGAGAAATATTGCTTTGGAACAGCATTAATTAAAACAAAATGGCTACCAGTTGGCCATTTTGAATACATCTACTTATCTATAACATGATGTAAAACGAATATATACAAGCAGCCTGTCGGCTGAGATAGCTCTGCTATTAGCAATGCACATTTCAAATAAAAAACTGAAGATATCATTAGAAAAGGAACAATATGTATCGTATCAAAGCAATCAGACTTGCTGTTTTCAACAAGAATTCGAAAATATCTCTTTCTATCAAAAATGACAAAAATATTCATTAAAATTAGACAATTGAAGATATCATCACGAAATGAACAAATCTGCGAGAGGTCTACCTGTAGTACCTATATATATAATAGCAAACCAATCAGACTTGCGGTTTTTAACAAGAAGTCAAAAATATCACTTTTTACCAAAAATTACAAAAATATTCACCAAAATTAGAGAATTAAAGATATCATCACAAAATGAACAAACCTGAGAAAGGTCCACATGTAGTACCTATATATGCAATATCAAAGCAATCAGACTTGTAGTTTTCAAGAAGAAGTCGAAAAAGTAAAACATTGACACGGACGCCCATGGACAATCACTCATGTGATAAGCTCCGCTTGACAAAGTCAACAGCGGAGCTAAAAATTTGAACATAATCAGTCAAAGCATGGCAGAGATATGGCACTAGAACTGCATTCATTAAAACAAAATGCCCGCCAGTCAGCCATTTTAAATTGGATCTGAAAAATAAAATGATGTGCATCAAGGTGCATCACTTTTTACCAAAACTGACAGAAATATTTACCAAAATTAGAGAATTAAAGATATCATCACGAAACAAACAAATCTGAGAGAGGTCTACCCAAGGTACATATACACCAAGTATCAAAGCATTCAGACTTGTAGTTTTCAAGAAGAAGTCGAAAAAGTAAAACATTGACACGGACACCGACGGACAATCACTCATGTGATAAGCTCCGCTTGACAAAGTCAACAGCGGAGCTAAAAATTTGAACATAATCAGTCAAAGCATGGCAGAGATATGGCACTAGAACTGCATTCATTAAAA